TTTCAGTTAAGGGTGAACAGGTAGATAAATATGATTGTATTAAGCACATCATAGATAGGAATTTAAAGTGCTGTTTACAGACCTGAGTTGATACAGTTTCTAACTGTAAAGCTTATTTCAATAGCCTATTTATTTTTCCTGCAAAAACAACAAGTTTTGTCATAGATTATTATTACTAAACGTGTTTTGTCTTATATGCAGCATTACTATTTTACTTGGCAGTGCCATGTATTGAAAGTTATGATGCCTTTTTTAACCAGAGTCTCATTTCCCTTTCCACCAGGAATACCTTGCATCCTATTGTGAATATCATTCCAATGATTATAACTCCAGTCTAGGAAATGGTTTCTTGAAAAATAAGGCTGTATTGAAAACACTAATGAATCAGATGAAAACATGGCTTGCTAACAGCTCTCATTCTCTGGTTGATTTTAAATGCTCATAAATAAAGACTGGGTCACCTAATCCTGCAAACCCTTGTATTTCATTGAGTGACCTTGAAAGCAGTTGTTTGACTGCACAGCACTGTTGGCAGGAGGAGTGCTTGAGTGCACCTTTCCCAGTGTTCAGTGCTTGGATGGTTCTTGACCATTCACAGAGGTGCCTGTTGTTCCTTGATTAGAAACAGATGTCCTGAATGAAAAGGATGATTAGAGCATTGTTAGTGGTTCAACTGCTAATAGCAGATTCCTGGCTATATGTTGAAGTTCAGAAGGATATTTTTTTGTATGTATAAAAAAAAAGCAAATTTCTAAATTGTCTGTATAAAAATTATTGCAGATTGTGATAAAATTATATGTTTGACTTGAAAGATACCAATTCCTTACAGTAACAATTGTCCTGAAAGATACTTACATAGAAGATTTCTAAAATATTTTAAGGGTTTTTCTGTTTGTATTTGTGTGTGTATAGATATGTATGTATCCTCCTATCTGCAGTTGAATATGACTGTATGAAAAATTTAAAAGCTGAACTTGTAGATGCATGCTGCATTGACTAAGCTTTTTTGAAAGAAGACCTTTTTTTTTAATGTTTCCCCAACTGCATGAAAGGATCCTCTTGGGAAATAGTTTTAAAATTCTAAAAGTCTTTTCTTCATTTGTATATACACAGAAGGACAAAAATTATCCTAGAGAGTGAATGCTTCTGCTAAATAACAGCTAATATCATTACTTTAAATTTAGTTTAATATTGTTATCTTTTTAGTAGTCATTTTTGTTTGTTGCTTTATTGGCATTAACCTAAGAAAACAACTTTATGTGTGAAAGTTTCCATCATCTTAGAAAGTACAGCAGAAACGTAAATTGTAATCAGCATCTGGACAAATTAGTTTCAGCTGTTGTATATTTTGATTTCTGGAGTTTGTCTTCTCTCATTTCCTCTCCTTTCCCCAGTACATATCTCATTAATTTACAAATATATCTTTGTTTTGTTATGCATCAGATCAACATTTCCATTCTCTTATTTTCTAAAACTTCAGTTCTGCTTGCTGCCTTAGAAAGTCCTTCTCTCTTTCAACACTACTGTCTGCTACAGGTATTTGATCACTACTACTTTCTCTTTCCTGTTTATTTGCTTTCTTTAGTCCTTTGTTCACTCACATCACTCCAATGAAATTGTTCATCTTTGAGGCTTCCCTGGCCTCCTCCAGGTCAGAAACAGTGTTATATTCAGTTTTATATAAATATAGATGTGTCAGAAATATTTTTTGAACTGAATCTTTCCTTAAATGCTAACTACTGCATTTTGGTTCACTTTATGGAGCAGTGTAGGAGCAATCCCAACAGATAATGGGTGTTCAGTCTGCAGGACCAGATTAAAGCCAGCTGTTAAGCTCAAAAAGAAGTATATAGTAAAGATGTCAGATCTTCAGTGCTGGCTCTGTCTACTGATGGAATTCTTTTGGTGCAGACCATTTCCTAATGCAGATGTGTGGTCTCTGCTGCCTTGACATCTGTTGCTTCTCTGAGTTTTGCTGCTTCAGTCTGACCTGTTACCATACAATGAATTTGTATTCAACAAACCTAAAAGCAGGCCCCACCCATGTTCAGCCTTCATCCAGCCTTGGCTGCAACCTGGATTTCTAGCTGTGTTCTCCTTTAACCTGTGACAGAAACTGATCATGTCTCCACTTTGACTATCACAGCTTCTTGTGTTGTGTTACTGCCAAGATACTTTCCTTGTGAAGTAATTATCTGTTTATGGTCTTTCCCATTATGTATGAGTGACATTCTTCCTTTTTGAAGCACTCTATACCATAGCACTCATCCAGCTATTCTCATACTAACCTAATTTTTTTGCAAGCACTTTACACTGAGAACACCATCTGACCATTTCATCAACTGCTGTCTCTGCAGCTCTTCACTTGTTCTGTATTTTGTGTATGTGGTAGTGTCACAGCTGAGCATAGCAGGATTTCTCTTTGTTTCAGAATAAGTTTCCTTCTTCAGTAAATATGCTGTATTTTGCTTCATTTGAACAATACAAGTTGTATTTTTGCTTTGCAAAATCAGATTGGGTTTTTTAAATGTCCTTGTATGGAGAAAGTGTTCTTATGTAGCTATGTTAAGAAAAGTCCATACACATGCATGTATGTTAAAAAGGTGTTTCTAGCAGTTTCACTGGTAATGTAATTTCAGAAGCAGGATCTGTGCTTGAGAAGTAACATAATAGAACTAAATAACTTATTTTAATACAACACAATGAAATGGGGAAAAATTCTCTCTTGCAGCTGTTATACTTGTAAACAAATGCTTCTGCATTCAGTCTTGTTTCCTTTAAGAAATTCAGAAGGGGTAAGGATTTCTCTCATACCTCATCTGAGCTTTTATACAAGCTTACAAAATCACATAGTATTAGTTGCACTTCTATTTGCCTCTGGTGTGATTAGTACTCTGTATTCTACAGAGTGTGATTACTTAACTTAAGTTGGACATTAGGAGGAACTTCTTCATAGGAAGGGTGAAGGATTGATTAAACATTGTAATGGGCTACCCAGGGAGATGGTGAAGACTGGACGTGGCACACAGTGCCATGGTCTAGTTGGCATGGTCATGTTTGGGCAAAGGTTGGACTAGAATGATCTCAGAGATCTTTTCCAGCCTAATTGATTCTGTGATCTGCAATCCTGTTTTTTCCAGGTGACTCATTTCTGGCTACAAACTCTGTCTAATTAATATCTGTTTTTTAATTCCATTTAATGTCTCAGATTTGTAAGTTTTTCAGGGACAGGGCTCTCTTCCTGACAAACAAGAAGTGCTTGATGTGTATGGTTGTTAGCAATACATGTTCACTGTCCTGCAGATGTAAATTAGGACTGTAGCAAAGAACACAATTTGAAATTTCTTGGAAGATAACCTTTACATCCAAATCAGGCAATGAATGCCTGCAGAATAAAAGTGAATTTTGCCATCAGAGACTAAGCTATTCACTAATACTTGGGGAGGCTTTTGAAATATCTTTTCTATTTTGAGTGTATACTTGCAAATATAAATGCAGAAATCGCTTATCTCTCCCCAGTGAAAGCACACACACACAAAACATGCAGTTTTCGTTACTTAGCTATGTCTCAAGAAAGATTTATTTTTCTGTTTTCTTCTACCAGTTTCAAGGGACAAATGCTCTGAAAATACTTAACACACTAATTGAATCAGGAAAATCAAAGGGGTCACCTGTTGGCCATGTCTGTTTTAGCTGTCTCTTTAGGTTGTGTTTCAAGCTGGGTTTGTTTGTTGGGTTTTTTAGCAACATCTGTTCTAACTCTTGTTTTCTGTGTGTGTGTGTGGAGAGGATGTTTAGGGTATGTTAAGCCATTTGTTCAAACTGGCTTTGTAGCAGCGTCTAATAAATTTGAAAGGCAATGCCAACTTCTTAAAGAAAAAATGTCCAAAGCAGCAGAAAGTAAACACAGCATGCCTTGATTTTTGGAAGTTGTTTAATTAATACTCATGAGGATTTTTACTTTCAAATATCTCTAAGGGAAAATGTTATTAGTATAAAAGAAATAAATAATTTTACTGAACATTAGTGAAAAAACCCACAATTTTCTGTAGAGTGTTAAAGCAATTTCAAAGAAAAAGTATTGACTTCAAATTACTGAATATTGACCTGTTAATGACAGCTTGTTATTAACAGTTGTTTCCTCCTGGCCATGCTGGGGATAGTGTTTAATGGTATTTGAAGAAGATATATGCAAAAAAGAGGAGTTTTAGGTATTCTTTAAGGAGACCTTAGTGTTAAAGGCTATCCAAGAGGGATCAGACATGTTGTGATGGAAGACCATATGGATATTTCTCGTAAGTTTGTCCTTTGTGAATTCATTTCTGAGTGTTTTTGACAGTAGAAAGTTTGATTCATTCTGGTCTTAGTATTTTGCTTCTGAAGCTACAGATTTCCTTTTTTAAAATTTTTTTTTATTTTTGGTTTCTCTTAGTTTATGGCATCTGGATTTAGTTACTGGATATTGCCCCAGAAGTGCAAAAGAAAAAGTACAGAATTTGGATAAATGCAAATGTTCTGATGTAGGAAAATCAAAACATACATAAATAACTGTTTTAGTCTTGTCTGCTGTGTGTACCAACAGTTTGTGTACCGGATGATTCATAGCTTTACTGATATCTCTGCAGGTTTTTATGTTTTGATTTACATCTTAAAAGCTTAATTTAAACAAATCTGCAGACTGGTGAAGCAGAGTTGTAGTAGAAATGTAAGAATCCAGATGAACAGGAGTCTTTTCACTGTAGCCTATAGTTGAACAACTCCTGCACAAATCTATAAAGATTGTTTTAAAAATATATATTTCTTTATATTGACAAGATTTTTTATTGTTTATTGTTTTATTGTTGCACACTTGCAAACATTTGTTCTTGATGCCACTCTTTCCCAGCACTTTTGCACTCTGTGATAATTAATTATGCCTCCTGTAGTAAACAAATTGCCTGAAATTATTGAAGTCTGTCTTAAAATAATCTTTTTCCTTTTCTGTCTTTTTCCAAAAATAGATAATATACCTGAGAGAATCCCCAGATGATGTGTACAGGCTTATATTGTCAGGAAGTGTTTCATATCTTCCTTTCAGGTAAATAACAACTTTATAGAACTTTCTGTACCTTGGTATTTTGAAGAAGAATGTAACATTTTTCAGTAGTAATTTCTGCCGTACTGGTTTTCTGGGGTTTTATTTTATTTTATTTTGTTTTGTGTTTTGGGGTGGGTTTTTGTTTGTTTGGGGTTTTTTTTGTTTGGTTTTTTTTGGGGATTGTTTTTTATTGGTTGGTTGGTTGTTTTTTGGGTTGTATTTTTTTTATGTTTTTACTTGGGACACACTCACTGTCCTAACTTTAGGTACTCCATGAATCAGAGGAGTTACCAGCTGGTATTGAAGTGTCCCAGCAGAAGGTGAAACAGCCCCACTGTTTGTATCCACTCATTGAGCTTTTTTTTCTACATTGCTTCTCACTTGGCAGTCTGATTTTGTGCCAGTAGCTGATAGTTGAACATATCAAAATATCTGTCATTCACCACAGAGGGCTTGCAATACTTAATAGCATTCTTTATGCACAAGACAGTATTTGCAGATTGGTGCACATATTTGGCAAGTGGGAAGTTGTCATCAGTGTATTCCAGGAGCCTTCTGCATTGGCTGTGCCCTACTGTACTATCCCTCCAAAACATATCAGAGTAGTTACAATTGCCTGTGAGGACCATGGCCTAAGAATGTGAGGCTGCTTCTGTCTGACCGTAGAAGGCTTTATCCATTTGTTCCTTCTGATCAGGTGGTCTAAGAGACACATGCTACAACGATGTCACCTTTATGTGTCCTTTCTTTTACTTGAGTAACGTTCTATTATTTCTGTCTCCTCCTAATTTCTGCCCCTTTTTCACACTGATTGATAAGGAAGGAAAGGATAGAAAAAATTACTAGAGACAGTTACCCAGGTTCTTCTAAAGTTCTCCTTCCTCTCAGTTGAAACTTGAACATGAAATGTTTTCTACTTATTAGAAACATTAGCTGATAAGGGCTGCATGGTCTCAAGGTGTTCTACCAAGGCGTAATGTTCTCTGGTGTAGATTCAGTTTAATTTATTTATTTACTTCACTATAGTATTCCTGGAGAATTCTTAATCTGTGGTGTTTATGAAATTTGATAATGGTCATGTACTAAGAACATGCAATTCCTGGATCAGCAGAATTAAAAAAAAACTTGTAATTGAAAGAAGTAGTTTTAATGAAACTGGTTTCCCGTCTTGTATAAGCATGAACTATTTATGATTCTTAAGGATAATATTTTATTATGTTTACTAAAATGCTTATCCTAACAGTCCATGTCTGAAATTGAACATTTCAGCATTACAAAACCTGTAGCTGGAGTAATCTTAGTGTTGTATCTCTTAATAAAACTTATTTTATGTTGTTATTCTTGTAAGAGTCAATGTATGGGAAATGAAGTAATCATTTGACATAATTATTTCAGTTTAATAATCATTACCTTGAGGTAATTTTTAAAAGGTGTTTTAGAGAAGTATCTTCAATTGCTTGCTCTTGGATTAAAATACAATAGTTATGTTTTGGTAATCGTGTCTTATAGGGATGCTTCCTTTGGTACTTGCAGTTTTCATCTGACATTACTGGACTGTTTTCATGCAATAAACAAGGTCAGTAAACTAATATTTTTCACATTTCAAAAAAGTAGCTAAATGTTGCCCATCAGAAGAAGAAGGCTTAGGAAACTAGGATCCAGTTAGAGCTGTGAAGTAGCAATCTGTGGATTGTTGCCTAGTTTACTATGCATTATGCATTGTCACAAAGTAGGTACAGCATTCACAGAAGTCTACCAATACTTTATATAATCAACATGTGAAGATATTATAGAGGGAATTCTGAGTTTTACTTGTGTAATCTGTCAGGACAGTAATTCACCTCTAATCCTAAGAGCTATGTGTTAAGTTTATTATATACCCCCTGGTGTTATGTGTTAGGCTGAACATAGTGTATAACAAACCCATTCAAAACCCATTGAAAGGGTTTTGAATGGGTTTGTTATACACTTCTGGCATTTGCAGCACATGCTAATGATTTCAGATTTTGCTTTAGTAATAAAAATAGAACAAATGTTAGGAGGTAGGTGCTTCTTTTTTTAACTATAAAATTACAAAAACTAGGTTTTATAGCAATATAGCAGTGAAGTGATGCAGCATTAAAGGGTAGGGAAATCAAAACACATTCTTTTTTAGTCTGTATGAGTAGTGAAATGGAATTCTGCAGCTCTCCACTGTACTATTGTCTTTTGTATTATGGGTATCTCTACCAAATAGTGACATTTTTACTGGTTAAGTAGTCTTGAAGATTGGTGATTTTTCAGCTTTTTTGGGTATTTTGAAATTGGTTATTTATATGCCAAGACTGGTGCATTGCTGTTCTTGCTGGTGAACAACAAGGAAAGCTACAAAAGATTACATAGTAAAAGAGAAAATTAGAATGTAGTATTTTTAATATCTGGAGATATGGGATTTATCTGTGTTTGTCTTCCTGTTTTAACAAGTGGATAAACTATTAGTTACGCAAATGATTATATTTTTTATACAGTGCTAAGTATTATGGTTGTGGCTAATATGGGACATCATGGACTCACAGAAATATCTACTTAGGACTTTGTGACTGCAAACAATTTGAAATCAGTGAAGCTACTAGCAAATAAAATTTATGCACAAAAAATATTTCCAGTCCTTGAATGTGGTCTTTAGAATCTACTCATAGCTTCAATAGATTTTTTTTTGTTAGTTATTTTTCTTTTTATTTATTTCAGCTAGCAATAATGAAAAGACTAAATGCTTCAGTAATCTGGGATTTTTATAGTGATTCAGTGAAAACAAAAAAAGTTGATTTATTCATCTGACTTCACTTATATTGAAATTTACAAACTGGGTTTGAAGCAAGACTGTTTATCTGTATTCTTAAATTTTGTGAAGAAAGAAGGAGAGTGTGTATTAAAGGACTTTATGTAACCAAAGAGAGTAAGAAATCATCCTCATTGAAGAGGCATCTTTGTTAAGAGCTGTGTTCTGAATTTTAGGCTTTGCAGTATGGTTTCCTGGATTTTAGTACGTTTGATGTAGATGAATATGAACATTATGAAGTAAGTGTTCAGTATCAAACTTTTGATTTGTTTGCTGTTACTAATGCTAAAGCAATTGCTTATAATTTCTGCTATTCTTTTGTATTAAGTTCCATTTCTGTTTTGTCTCTTTAAGTTATGATAGTTAAATAAAGGTTCATGGTCAGAGAGAGAATACTAAAATTCTCTTTTTTTTAAGCATAATTATGCTCAAATATGGGGAAAAGCAGAAACCAAAATGGAAGTGGGAGTCTCCATTATTAGTAAAACCCTGGGTATTCCTGAGCAATCTTGATGAAAAACTAAGGGGCATACAAGCCCAAGTCTAACTGAATGCTAGAGAACAAAGTAGGTATTTGAGAACACACGGCAAAAATGTAATAACACTCTTTGAGGTAAAGAAGGAAACAGGGCTGGGAAACTCCAAGTGCATAAAATTCACTTTGGGTCATAGGAAATTATTGTCACAATGAAGGACTGCAACTCTTGATTGTATGCAGTGTCAGAAATGCAAAGCTGCCAGATATCTGTAAAGAGAAAATTAAATGCTCCTAGAGCTTAAAAAAATAATTATTTAATTTGTGAACAGAAGTAAGACCAATTGATAAGACCAATTTAGGATCCTATAAAAAATAAAAATTTGAAAGTTGCTCTTCATCTGAAGGGCATCAGTTACGTTGTTCTGAAGCTCCGATTTAGAAAGACAGGGACACAGGGGAGAAACATGAGGTTGAGGACATCTGTCATCCTCATGATGAAAAAGAAAGCAGCCAACTAACACACCTTCCTTTGACAAAAATTATACATCAATTCTATATAGCATGTATTTTGAAACAATAAGGAAAAACCTGAAAATACAGGGATAATGATAAACCAAGCATTTTCTCTTGACAGAGAGCAGAAAATGGAGATTTTAACTGGATAATACCAAACAAATTCATTGCCTTCAGTGGACCTCATTCAAGAAGTAAAATTGAAAATGGTATGCTTAAAAGAGGAGGTGGGGAACACAAGCCCACTGCTTTCTTAGTTGATTGTTATCAGTAAGAACAAGCTTTAAAAATTGTTCCTCAAACAGTGTGTTTTTTCCTTGCCTCTTTTCCTTTTATAAGAACTCTGGCAGTAAAAGTTTAATGCTTGGTTTAATTGTATCTGACCTAGGTGATTGTATTAAAATTCCATTTTCAATTAGTCTATTTCTTTATCTTGTCTCTATTTTGGAAGTGTTTTCATGTCTTTATTTTTTAGTGTTTTTTTATTTCTTCAGTTTAAGCCTTACTCTTTTTTTTAATCTTCTGTTCTCAAATAGGCTATCCCCACCATGCTCCAGAGGCTTATTTCCCATACTTCAAGCAAAATAAGGTCACCACTATAATACGCCTCAACAAAAAACTGTATGATGCCAAACGATTTACAGATGCTGGATTTGAGCATTTTGATCTCTTCTTTGCTGATGGAAGCACACCTAGTGATACTATTGTTAAAACATTTCTAAATATTTGTGAAAATGCTGAAGGTGTAATAGCTGTTCATTGCAAAGGTATGATGCAAAAACTAGTCTTTATTACAAGTGATGTTAATAATTACAGCTCCTGAGGTATTTTGCAGTATAATTCCACTATATCTAGTTATTAATATCTCTGCCAAACTGCAACTGTTCCATTAAAATTATTTCTATGGTTCTGTTCAGCATTTCTTCTTCTAATTTTGTTAAGTACCAGAAAAATCTTCCAAGTCATTCCCAAAACGAGACTGGAGAAAGTGAGATTTCCAATATTAATGGCTCTTTCTACTAGAAAGTGTTAATACTTTCAAAGGATGCTTTGGGCAGGCATTTGAAGTCCTGTCAAGTTCTCTCTGAAAATACATGTTTAAAAATACTAAGTCATAAACTTTTGGAAACAGCAGCATTTTGGGGAGATCCTTCAAAATATATGAGTGTTCTTCTACAACCACCAAAATCTTCATCCCTCAGAGATTCTTTATACTAGTTTGGGCATGCTCTGAATATCCATTCCTCCAGAGTTAGACTACAAAGATTTTAAGAGCCTGGCCAATGCAGTTAGTATTGTTATTCAGTTATAGTATAGTTATTCAGTTTTCTGCTGTTCTAGAGGCAGTATGTTTCCCTTCCCATCCCATCTTTAATAGTCTATCAGACATTTCTTCTCCACAACTTTGCATCCCTAGTGTATCTGATAATGCTGTGATTGAAGGAGAAGGTCCACAGCCAACAGATTAATTTGTTTGCTTTGGACCTGCAAAGTCTGCAGTTTTGTTCCTGTATCTGCCGTCCATTTGCTGGATTTAACAGAATTATACTGGAAAGTGAAAGAATTGTTGAAACTAACATCTTGACTCTGGGAAAACTAGTTCATATTCTTATTCTTCACTGAGGTGATAAATTCAAGCATGTCACTTAGCTGGTTATGCCAGAATATTGAGTGTCAGTGATACAAGTGCTTTTTTTTCATTCAGATTAAGGTGTTCTTTGGTAGACGTCAGACTAATGGTGTCTAACCTGCGATTACTCTTGAGGAGGTGTAGAATGCTGTAGCCTGTTTCTAAAGCTGTCATGGGAGTCATGGAAAGCTAAGAAAGTTCCTAAAGCAAGTAATGGAAACTGCTGTGTTGTTGTCTTGGCTGTTATGTTATACAGAAGATTTTGCAGTGGTGTTGATCAGGCAATTGTTAAATAAGAGAAGTGGTGTGTGATTTGCATGTGCAGCAAGTGATTGAGGAGAGATGCCACTTAGCTGGAGCGGTCCTCTCTAGCTTCTCATATTTCCCAAGGTAGATAGAACTGTTTTGAGGGCCATTTTTAATAAGGTTTCTCGCTCTGGAGTACTTCTTGCCTGTGCTAGCTGGTGCCCAGATTTTCTTATTGCAAAATTTTTCTTTTTCTTGGTTGTTAAAGAGATTAATTAGAGGGGGGCTGGGAGAACATCTGATTTCAGTGCAATGTGTGATTAGTTTGCAAGAAGGTGCTAGGAGAATTCTGAAAAGAATAAAAAGGCCAACTGTTTTATCCCATGCTTAAAAACATTCTCATACCTTCATACATATTCACAGAAAGGTAAATAATGGTAGCTAAACTTACAGATATTTGTAAAGGTGCTGGCTTTGGCAGGTTACCTTGCTCAAAAAAATATGGACAGTGTGTTAGTAACCTTGTATATGATGAAAAAGGTCGAAGAGTAAGTTTCCCTTACCACATTTGATAAGTAGAGATTTGTTTTGATCAGGCAGGTATCTACTTGTCCAAGTAACAGTGTCTATAGTTACAACAGATTCCAGATGAAGATGGATATATAAAAGAAGACATTTTTTATATTACACAGCTGGTCTTGGACGAACTGGCACACTTATTGCTTGTTACATCATGAAGCATTATCGGATGACAGCTGCTGAATCTATTGCCTGGATCAGAATAAATAGACCTGGTTCTGTGATTGGACCACAACAGCATTTCCTGATGGAGTAAGTAGATTGAGTGTAAATTATTGCCAAAAATTAATCTAGATGTCTTTTTCTTCTTCTTCTTCTTCTATTGTACACTTAACAGTCTTCAGTGTTAATTTTTTGTGTTTTGGGCCTTTTTTTCCATGTTATGATAGCAAACAGGCAGAACTTTGGACAGAAGGGGATATTTTCCGTGCAAAGTTGAAACGAAACCATAAAATTGCTGTAACAAGAATTCTGTCAGGAGTAGATGATATTTCAATTAATAACACAAGAAACAGGAGAACCATCCAAAAGGACATTGAACTGGTAACCATCCAAATATTGTGCTCTTGTAAAAGTTGGAACTGTTGAGAACCTCTCAGGTTTTGGAAAAAACCTGTGGGTGCACTAAAACTTTGTTAATCAAATTTTTTTTCTGTTCACCCTTTTTGTATAAAAGGATATTGGGGGGGGAAACTAGGGATGCCAATTATGAAAAATGGAGTTTAGAACACAAATGAAGTAGGAGCATCATCATGCTTTAGTCTTTTGTAATTAGGTCAACAATAGAAAAAATGTACTCACATTCTGCAATCTAAAACACTGATTTCATTTTGGATTGTCTGTTGCTTCACTGTGTGTATTTAAAAGGAGGGGATGAAAGGGTGGGTTTTTTTACTTATTTTAGTTTCTAATTGCCACTTCTGTTATACCTTTTCATGGTGCTTTTTGAAAAAGACAGTACTGCTGTTTTAAAAAGGCAAGTGAAGGAGGGAAATGCTGCATTTAGTGAAGATCATACTGTACCTAAGCAAAGATTTTATGATATATTGCTTCCAATTCTTTAAAAGGAGACAATATTCCAATGCATGTAAGTTATGACACCACTTAATGGTTTACAGCTTCTAAAGCAGCAAACAGGAAACTGGAAGGAACAGAACTATATTTATGCAAGTGAATTTCCTTTGACTTTGTCCTGTTGAGATAATTCTAATTTTAAGTTTTAAGATAAAGTTAATTCTTATATATCAAAGTGTCTATATTTAATCGTGATTTATCCCTTTCCCCCCTCCACTTATCCAGTACAGTGATGATGATGAAACAAACTGTTTAACACAAGGGGATAAGCTTCGTGCTCTGAAAAGCAAAAGGCAATCGAAAGCGCCAACTCCATCTCCACTAGCGTAAGTCAGTTTCTAAATATATAAAATGCCAGAAACACTTTTATCCTCTTCTTCATTCATACGTCCTGTTGCCCACAAATGTTTATTATCAAATCTGCTTTTACTGCCTTAAAACAAACATGAGATTCACCATTTCTCTGAAGGCTTGGTGAATGCAGAGGAGGCAGGACAATTTGGTAAAAGAACTGCATGACTGAATTTCTAGTTTTCTGTATAGTTTTTGATGCTGGTATTCTGCACTTTACAAGCTCATATAGCACATCTGAATGCTCTACTTTTTAGTTTAATCACAAGCATTCCCTTGTCTGTCCTGTGGTAGTATAAAAATGAAAGAATATGATTCTGTGTGGTTTTGTTTGATTGGCTCAAATAAGATATGTGCTGATGTTTGAAGTAACGTTGATAAAGTCAGAGATGAAAGAAGGATTTTAACTTCCTTTCATTTTCTCTTCCTTGGAAGACAACTTTCCCTAAATCATGTCATGACTGTGATAATGTTTTGTGGATCTGGAAGGCAGAGTAGCCACTGTTTCAGCAAAAAAATCAAAGAACTGCATTTCAGTGAAACTGGTAGTCTCTTTATTTTAGTCAAGTCCTGAAACACCACCTGTAAAAGAAAGTTTGCATCTACTGTAGCTTGTAGCAACTGTAAGTATAAAATCTATCTGCCTGCTCTTAAATAAACTGCAAGAGAACGCAACACTTGGAAAACTTTGCAGGATCTCCTTTGATTGCTAGGAAAGCAATGGTGACCCCTGGCTGTCAGACTTTTGCAAATCACACATGACCAAAGTCACAGGCCACAGTTTACATGACTTTTGTAGTGTTGTCCTTCTGTAGGACATGATGCTGCTACCTTGCTGGCATTTTTATTTTCTTCTTTTTCAAGATCACCACTGTCACCAGGCTTTTAGAAAAAGTGAGAAGTATGTAGTAAAAATGTGTTGAAGGTAAAGAAATATATCTCTGGAAACCTTCACACATTGCTATGTCTGATTTCTGCTTTTGTTTTAAATTACTGTCTTCTGTTCATGCTTATCATTTACACAGACAGCCATATAAGAAACAACATACTCAGAACAAAGACTGTGCCCAGCTGATTTAAAAAATATCAAAATGCAACACCTCAGTTACCTCAAATAGCACAGTAAAAAACAACTACCTTGCAGATTAGTTTCCAAGGCACAGAAGTGCCTTAGTTGTCAAGTACTGAATTGCCACACACTTACTGTATGTTCCATATGATGAATGTAGACTGTGTGATAACCTATTCAGAGCCATTGTCCTAATACCTTCTTAACACAAGACCTATCTACTATTAAAATATTATTTGGCTCATGAAACATTCTGCAATGTCTGTTCTAATTAGTTTGTACTTGTGTAGAATTAAAATAATTGACCTGGAACTTATAGCTCATTTTTACATTGTGCATTGTCACTCAAGGAGCTTCAATTTACCTCTTTCTGTTCCCCTGAGTTATTTTTATGGTTTGCAACTTGTACTGAAATAATTCAGTGAAAAATGAATGTGCAAACTCATACATTCCTTTGTGTTACTGTTGTTTTGTTGCAAGGAATATTTAGCTGCCTTACATGAGTCAAAAGTTTTTTCTCCTACAAGAGGTGACTGTCTCTTTCCTTTGTAGTTTAGTCTGTTAAAATAATTATTCTTGTGGTGAAATTGATTACTTTTATCTAAGCAATCAAACAGAAGCTTCTAAATCTTCCAAGTAGTTTTATTTCAGAGGAAAAAAGAAGGGGGGGGGGGGCAAAATAAGAGCACCAGAAACTTGGACAGTTAGTCTTTGAAAACTAGAGGCATTATTTACTTTTGAGTCACAAAAGACTTGTATAGAGTGTTTATTGAAGTTGGTTGTATAAATTCTTTATGCGTTGATGACTGGATATTTTATGTATGTTCTAATAAGCGATTTTCTGCACCTGTGGCAAAGGATTATGAATTGGCTTTTGCTTCTTACACAGAAAGGTAATACATGCCATCATCTGGTTGTTTATATAAGGTGTTTGTTTCTGCAGACTTACCTGTCTGTGATGTAATGTTTTAATATCAGAATGTATGATTATGAAGTAGGATGTGTGAATGCGGGTTGATCAAACTGCATAAGAGATGGCAGCAAGTGGTCAGAGATGAATTGCTCCTGCACACACTTCTTTCCAAGAGTGATACAGACTGTTTGAAATAGGTGACTTTGGCGAGGGTTTCAGAAGGTTTGCTTTGATTCCAGCAGCACATGGGTACTACACTGGCAATTTATGGCTGGATGGATTGTTAGTCATAGAAAGTAAGAAATGCTTGGCAAAGTTTATAGAACAGTATCCTTTTGAAGAACTTGAAACAAGCTAAAATGCACCAATAGCTTTTGCTTTTGAATTTTTTTTCATCTCTACCTCCCCCTCCAATCCCTTTTTAGATGGCTCCTAGCTATGCTGGTGTCTACACTCTGTAGCATTGTCATCTGGTGGATTATATGTGGCTCCCTTCTGCCCAGCCTGCTATTCTGTCTAGATGGTTTAAGAACATAGTAACCATCAGGACCCCCTGAGAGAGAGCCACTGTGTAAGTGTCCCATTCCATTTCTCTACAATAGCTCACACTTTCTGTCTAGTATGTCTTAAATGCATGTTTTCATTTCATGTTTCTTACTGGCTTTGTTGCAAGAGTGAATTTCACTACTCTGGCTTTGTTATATTCTTGTGTCTATTATTTGGAAGAATTGAGTGATTTTTATGGCTGGCTTACAATATACAAAGGCAAAGAGCTCTTATAATTAGAGTAATTTTTAGTTTTGAAGTGTTTCTTCTCTGCAGATAAGCAAAACTACATAAGCAAAATTATCTGTAAGAAATAAAAAAGTACTGCTTTAAAATAAGATCCTATCCTCTGCATATTGCAGATGCAGATGTTAACTTCAGTTTTATTTCCAGAGTTCATCAACTTACAAATTAGGCTGTTTTCCCAACACATTTTCTTATTCCCATGAAATGACGAGAATTAGAATTTGTTAGAAGTGTCAGTAGGTCTTTGTTTCTACGGAGACATCAAATATTATATGCCATGTCATAAAACATTACTTCTTTTACCTTTTTGACATAAAAGAAGATGGGGCAGGTTGTAGTGTTAGGTCCAGGCTCACTTGTTTACCCAGCCATTCTGGTTTCATCATCTCTTGTTCACAATTATGTTTTCTAAATCTTTAGGAGACTACTTACATTCCTTTATTCTGTTACTTGGATTCAGCAGCCGAGAAAACAATAGCATATCAATTTCTTGAGTACAGTTTTCACTCTTTCTTCACTCCACTTTCATCAGAGTAGCTACAGTGATTTCTGTGCCTTGCTTCTACTTAAAAGGTGCAATGTTTTCATCGAATGACAGCTTACGTATTTTGGTCAACTAAAATTTCAACAACACACAGAACTGTGAGGAAGTGCAAATTAACTTTTTGCTTGTTTCTGAGCCTTCCTGGAGCTCCTCTGTCATCACCACCCTCAAAGTAGAATGATTACTTTGGGTGAATACTTGAAATCTTGGTGCTTTCAGATTAAAAAAAATGGTCAGAAAGTCTTTTACTAATTAAGAATAGGCAGTCTCTCCTGACAGGCATGAAGGTTGAGATTTTCTGTCATCTGTAATTTTGGCCTTGCAGCTTTTTGTCTGCACTTTTTAAAAAGCATGAAACTTTCTGCTGACCTGAGTGACTGGATGACTATAGAATGAGAACTGTGAGACTTTGGACAGGTTAGTTATTTGGTTAGCCTTCACTGAGGTCATCCTAATCTGTTCTTTTTAAGAAAGAAATTATAAAGAAATAAAGATCACTTCAGCTTAATTTTTTCCTTAACCTTGTTAAATAATTTACTTGAGAGGCATCATTCCAAATAACATGGGAGGTGTGTTTTTAAAGTTTTACAGTGAATGGAGCACTATTTCTTTTCTCAGTGGTCTCTGGAAGTCAGACTTCAGATTTCTGAACACATACTGAAAAGCTAAACTTAAAACACAGGTCAAAGAGGTGAAACAATCTGTGCTTTGTTTTGCTGTACTGTGCTATAAGATCAATTTCAGTCAACTATCATCCTTTCTTTCTCTTACTGTGTCTTGTGTTCTGTCTGAAAACTAGAAACATTTTTTCCTTGCTGGATGAAAAAAACTATTTGATGTTGGTAGATGTGATGCAAGCAATTTAGTTATTCCCATTTGCTGTGAATTTCCAATTACTGGTGCTGCTGCTTGATTTTCAAGATTAACTATGATACAATGTTGGTTTAAGTATAGGGAGAGAAAATACTTTGTCTTTCCTTAAAAGCTTGCCTAACTTTCTCTTCTTTCTGTAGTTAATATTCCATGTTTTAAGAGATCAAATTATCATTAAGGATCATGGATCAATCTGGGCTGGCCTGGCAGTTGCATTGGCTGGAGCCCTGTGAGCTGAAGTTATTGGTCACTTGTTGCCTATCAATGACTTGGAATACTAGTAGAGATCTCAGGTCTATTTTCTTAAAAATAATGAGGTGATGAAGGAGAAAGCAGTATTGCATTTGACAGACCTTGTAAGACAGGTTACCCAGATTGGTTGGCAAGACTAAAATACCATTTGCAGATGGAGAAGACATGCACCTGAGTAACTTCTTTTTTCTTCATCCCTGTTTAGGATTCTGCAATCACATATGTTAAAAAACCTTATTGTGGATTGATTTCTGTCCAATGTGTATTACAGTGCTTGCAATTCAAGTTTTGTGGATTTTGTCTCGGGTTGTGGAGTTTGGGTTTTTATGTCCTGGTGGTGTGCCTATGTTCCACCTTTGCACTGAGTTAAATGTGGAATAAAAGTTGTGAGTTAACTTTAAAAGTTGCAGCTCCTTACCAAGCACTATTCCATTTAAACAGGTCTTTTTTTGTTTCAAGACCAAGGTATTAGCTTGAATAAGAAAGCAGTGTATAAGATAGTCTGCTATTTGTGGCGTGTATTTAGGATCAGAGCTACCAAGGGATGTTTCCATTGCAGATGAATTGGAGATTAAAAATTCTTAGAATGTAAATGTATGTTTAATAGTGTGACTATTATAACATCCTATAGCCTGCAGGGGTTTGGGGTTTTTTTGATTCAGTTTTTTTTTTGTTTGGTTTGTTTTTGGGTGGGTTTTTTTTGTTGTTGTTGTTTTGTTTTTGTTTTTTTTTTTTTGTTGTTGTTTTTGTTTTTTTTTTTTTTGTGGGAGTTTGTTGTTGGTGGTGGTTGGTTGGTTTTTTTTCATTTTTTATCATATCCCCTTAGGTTAGAAAACCTTTGTGTGCATCAGATGGGTTGGCTAGTGTTTTTGGAAGTTGCATGACATGCTATTTTATGTGAACAGTTTTAAAGCAGTAAGGTAGGTGTCCTGAGATCTTACCCTTCTCTAAAATAGTTTGGGATATTTTTTTCATGTTGACATTTTGGCAGGATTTCCTCTACCATAATCTCACATCCATTATAAAACCTATCTATTGAACCTGCTGTCAAGTGAGGCTGTTAGTCTAATTGTGCTAAAGCAAAATTCCATGCATTAGTTTCTTCTCTCACCTTTAACATATATGCAGTAGCATTGTAATGAAAGCTGTGATAGCACTGTTGCTGCTCCTCAGCTGACAGCTGTGAGGCTCAAAGACAGTGCTGGGTGTTTAATTGCAACAACCTGTCAGACAGTGGTGTAAATAGAACCTTGTCTCTTTTCCTTGAGTTGCTATCAGTCTTGGAAGTCTAGAATTCTAGTCTGATTTTAAAATGTCTGTGTGATAATTTAGCAAATGTTTTGTTCACAGCGATTTCAATTATTCTTTACTATAGAGCAGCCCAGTGAAGTTGTGTATATCTGAGATGTAAAAATGGCATAACAACTGAAGAACAGATGACGTTAAAGATCTACCCTGCTCACAGCTGGCTCTGAGCTGATCCCATAAGGCATCTTATCTCCCTTTGGCAAATGCAGCAAACTTACAAGGACATTTTTGTGGTCGTTATGGTTTCCTAGTGGCTATTTTTCTTATAAGTCACATTTCCATTTAGAGCTTCTTTTATTTTCTTTCTTTGTTTTGAACAGATAAGATGAAATTTTCTGGGAAGTAAGGGCTACCTTATGATATGTTGAAAAGATGAGTATTTAAATGTTTGTGCAAAATGCTATCTTGAGAATTCATAATGCTTCACAGAAACACAAAATGGATAAAAGTTGAAATAGACCACAGTGGTCCAACCTCCCTGCTCCCTGATGATGCAGAGTCATCCCAGAGCACATGACACAGGATTGCATCCAAATGGTTCTTGAATCTCCAGTGAGGGAGACTTGACAACCTCTCTGGACAATCTGTTCTAGTGCTCAGTCACCTGCACAGTAAAGAAGTTTGGGTGTTAGATTCAGAAGTTCAGGAGTTCTTCACATACAGGTGGAACTTCCTGTGCATCAGTTTGTGGCCAATGCCTCCTATTGCTCAGCACCACCAAGCAGAGCCTGGCTCTTGACACCCTGCCTTCAGATACTGACAGATATTGATGAAGTCCCCTCTGTCATCTCTTCTGGAGGCTGAACAGACCCAGCTCCCTCAGCCTTTCCTCATAAAGAGACGTCTAGTCTCTTCATCATATCCTTCCACTGGACTCTCTCCAGGACCTCCATGCCTCTCTTGTGCTGAGGAGCCCAGAACTGGACACAGCACTCCAGATGTGCCTCACCAGAGTTGAGTAAAGGGGCAGGATCACCTCTTCTGACCTGCTGGCGGTGCTCTTCCTGATGGTCCCCAGAACACTAGTGGCCTCCTTGGTGACAAGGGTACACTGCTGGCTCATATTTCAGTTCATGTTAGATACGTATATGGGTTTAAGCCAGGTACATTGACCAGTTTTCTGAATTTCTGGCATCTAGAAAAAAATGGGTGTTTATGAGAGAAAGATTACAAAAATTTCATTCCAATAACATTTGCTTTATTTTATATGTATATTGCATGCATTTTATGCAGAGAGACACCAAATGTGTATGTATTTAAGGAGAAAACATGATTTTTCCATATTTCTGGCTGCATGAGCACTAGTAAACCAGTATGTGCCATGATTTGTTCACGTTTATATTTCAGTGACTGAATGTTACAAGGTTCAGCATAACTTCATGCTTTTCTGTTCATTCCTAGAAGTTTCTGTCAGCACAGATGAATGGTATAATGCAAGTCTTATTTCACCACTGCTGTAATTTTTAGTGCTTGGTTGAAAGTGTGGTAGACTGAATTTATTCATTCTGTATGACAACTGTGGCACTGAAAAAAGAATTTCAATATTAGAACTTGTTAAAACTGTTTTATGATCACAGTAGAAACTATAACATAAACTGTCAGGTTTTAAATGTTTTCACCTTGGGCATGCAAGGAAAACATTTTCATTAG